TTCATCAGCTTTTTTTGTTCAGTATATTCCACATATAAGTGAGATCATGTCGTATTTGTCTTTCTCTTATTGGCTTGTTTCATTTAGCATAATACTATACAGGTTGGCTTTGTGCTGAAAAATCCAATGATAATCGAATGGGATTTTCTTTATAAGTTATCATCTTTTCCTTGACTGCTTTGAGAATTATTTCTTTGTTAATTTTTTTTTTTTTTTTTTTATACATCTTCAGATAGACGGGAGGGAGAGAGGAAGGAAGAGAGAGAGAAACATCGACATGAGAGAGATACATCGACTGATTGCCACCCACATGACCCCATCTGGGGCCGGGGACCAACTGCAACTGAGGTACATACCCTTAGCAGGAACCGAACCCAGGACTCTGGTCTGTAGGCCGACGCTGTAACCGCTGAGCCAAACCGGCCAGGGCTCATTGTTAATTTTTGACAGTTTTAATATAATGTGCCTTTTTTGCATGGAGGTCACTAGGTGTTCTATTAGCATCTTGCATTCAAGGATCTAGTTCTTTCCATAGGTTTGGGAAGTTCTCATCAACTATGTGTTTGAATAGGCTGTTTCCTTTCTATGCTCCTCCTCTTCCGGTACCAGTTATTCTTGTATTGCTCTTTCTGATGGAGTCAGATACTTCTCATTCAGTTATTTTCTTATTTTTTTTCACCCTCAGTTCTCTTCCACCTAAGTCACTTTTGTGTTTTTATCTTCTGTGTCACTAATTCTTTCCTCCATCTACTTTGCTCTATTTCCTAAGCTCACTAGTTTATTCTTCATTTCATTTATTGAGTTCTTCAGCTCCAGAATTTCTGTTTTGTTCTTTTTTATAGTTTCAATCTCTTTGGTAAAGTACTCCTTTTGTTTTTTCGTTCACTGATTTTTTTTTCTAAGTTCATTCATTTGCCTTTCTGAGTTTTCTTGTACCTTGTTGAGATTTTTCAGAACTGAAATCTTAAAATCACATTATTCCTTTGTCTTTAAGTCTGTTTTTGGAATTTTTTTTTCCCTGAATTCCCTTGTTACCTAGGTTATTCAGTGTGTTCGATGGATTATTTCTCTGTGTAGACACTTCTGGGAATGAAAACTGCATTTGTTGCTTTTAATCCTCACCTAAGGATTAGTTTTTATTGATTTTTAGAGAGAGAGGAAGGTGGGGGGGCAGAGAACATCGTGTAAGAGAAACATTTATTGGTTTGTCTCCCATATGTGCCCCAAAGCCTAGGTACGTGTCCTGACCAGGAGTCAAACCAACAACCCTTTGATGCACAGGACTACGTTCCAACCAATGCAGCCAGGGCAAAAAAGGCAAAAAACTGTTTTTTAAAAAATTTTACACTTCAGTGTTAAGCAGGTTGATAAGTAGAGGTATTTCTTTTCTTTTCCAGAGATGGCACTGAAGCATATAAGCTTTTATTTTCTCTTACGTGCACTGCTGGGGCTTCTGGGATCTATGTGAGTGTCACCTCCATGGTGGAAAAGGCTGCAGATTTCTGAGGAGGTGGGCATCCTCTTTACCACCTGGTCACCTCAGTCTTGGACACCACTTCTGCATACTGGAAGTGGCCAGCTTTGGGTCTCCTTTGTATTCCTGGCATCGCCTTTCTGCAGCCAGAAGCCCCTGGCAGGGTGCTCTGAGTTGACCCAGCTACCTCTACCAGGCTATTCCGCACGATGGGTGGGCAGGAGGAAGCGGTTCTTGCATCTTTGGTTATGCTGTTCTTTCTGAGTTTAGTTGCAATGACTACAGACTTTTTGGGCAGGAAAGTTTTTTTCCCAGCCCTTTTGCTATTTGCCTAGTCAAGGATTCAATGCCAGGTGGGCCTGGCTGTTGTAGCTCAGTGAGTTGATCATTGTCCCATGGAATGAGAGCTCCCAGTTAGATTCTCGGTCAGGGCACATGCCTGGATGGTGAGCTTGAAACCCAGTGGGGGGCATGTAGGAGGCAGCCGATCGATGTTTCTCTCTCCTCCCTCTTCTCTCCAAAAATCAATAAAAATATATATATTAAACTGCCAGGCGTGCCACTGGGGGATAGGGTGCATATGCAGAGTCCTTTTATTATGTTTATTTTATTTATACACACACACACACACACACACACACACATTTTTTTGGGTTCTGGCAGGCTTCAAGCGCAGTGATTATTTTCTATACTCTTTTTATGTCCCTAACCCTGGGCTCAGCCTCAGTATGTGCCAGCCAAAGAGGCCTGACTGCTCTCTGCCCCTCCATTCTGGTCTGTCCAGTGGGGGCTGCACCCCAACTCTTCACTGCTATCATGACTGCTGTGGTCCACCTCCAGCACCTGGCTGCCCATGGCTTCCGTCTCTATCCTTCTTCCTATCATTCTGTCTCCGCTCTTTGTTCAAATAAGTCCACTTTAGGCTGTCCCAATGCACAATGTCTTGGACATGTTTATGTGTTAAGCAGGGAATCCTTTGTTGAATTATAGCTGTTCCACTTGTAACTTCATGGGGAGAGATCTGGAAATCCTCTCATGCTGACATGCCACTTGTATCACTGGTTTTGGTTTTTTATTTCCTTCTTTGTAATGTCCTCATCTGATTTTGTATCGACGTTATAGTGGCCTCATAAAATGAGTTGGAGAAGAGTATATACTTGTTTTTCTCTTTATTTTTTATTTTTGGATTGTGTAGAATTAATAATATTTCTTCCTTAAATGTTTGATAGAATATACCAGTGATGCCATCTGTGTCAGTATATGGTATGTGTGTTGAGGGAGTGAGAGGTGTGAATTATGAATTCTAGTCTTTGAATGATGTAAGACCATTAAAGTTTTATATTTCTTCTTGAACTTTTGGTAATTTGTGAGCAAATTTATTAATGTATCTAAGTTGTCAGATTTATTGGCATAACATTGTTTATAACATACTCTCATTATGCTTTTAATGTCTACAATATGTGTTATGATATATCTTCCTTCATTCCTGAAACTAGTAATTTATGTTTCCTGCCTTTCTTCTTGCTCAATCTTTTAAAAAGTTTATTGGTTTTATTAATTTTCTAAGAATTTTGGGCTTTTTAAATTTCCTCTTTTGTCATTACTTTCCGCTCTTGATTTATTAGGGACTGTCTGTACTTACCTTGTATTTCATTGTCTCTTTTTCAGATGGAAGTAGAAATCAGTGACTTCACACCTTTTCAAATATAAGCATTTTATACCTTCCTTTTCTAATATAAGCACTTAAAGCAATATGTATTATCTAAAGATTAGCAACATGTCACAAACTTTGATAACTTTTATTTTTTATTATCTGGTTACCTTGTGAATTCTTCTTTGACCTTGGAATCTTTAGTAGTATATTAGTTAATTTCCCAAATATTTGGGAATTTTGTAGGTATTTTTGTTATATATTTTTAATTTAATTTCACCTGATCAAAGAACATTCTGTATGATTTTATGATTTCATCCTTCGAAATACATGGCCCAGTGTGTGTGGGCCTGACTTGGTGAGTGTTCCATCTGCAAGTAAATAGAATGCGTATTTTTCTGTGGTTGGGTGAAGAGTTCTATAAATGACAGTTGATAGTGTTGTTTACATCTTCCACATTCTTACTGATTTTTTATGTATTTGTTCTGTCTGTTTCTGAGAGAGGAGTGTTATAGTATCTACCTATGATTATACATTCCTTTGTATTTCCCTTTAATACTGTCAAATTTTGTTTTATGTGTTTAGACGCTTGTTTGTTTGATATAAACACACTTCAAATTGTTTTGTCTTTGTGATTAATTGACTGTTTTATAATTTTTAATGCTTTTCCTTTTTCTTTGATAATACCCTTCATCTTTTAGTTACTTTGTCTGATAGTAGTGTAGCCATGCCAGCTTTCTTCCACTTAGTGTATGCATGTTTTACCTCCTTTCACTTTCAGCTTGGTAGTGGGTTCAAAGTGTGTTTCTTGTAGAAGTAACTATGGGAGATGTTTAAAAATAATTTGGGGCAAGAAGAATCCTTTTTAACTATAACAGAAAACTTGGAATCCAAAAAAAAAATAGGGGGAGAGGGGGAGGAGAAGAGGAAAATAAAATAATGAAGAAACTGCTCTATATGTACTAATAATGGATAGTCTCCAAGATATGAAATTAAGTGAAAAGCAAAAGGTATAAAAAGTGAGAATAGTCTGCTACTATTTGTATAAAGAATCATATATAATAATTTTTGCAAATGTGTAAAACATTTCTAAAAAGATGCCATATAATGGATGCTAACAGTTTCCTCTTCTCGGGAGGACAAGTGAATGGCAGAGGTGAGAGGGAGATCCTTTTACTGCATACCATTTTGTGTCTTCTGAGTTTTGAACTATTTCAGGGGTGGGGAATGTCGGGCCTATGCACCATATAAAGCCCACGAAATCAATACCGGCTAACATCACACACCTCACCAAATCAGCCTGGCCAAATATAGCAGGCTAATTTTTAAGTTGACAATTTTGTATGGCCTGAAAATGATATAAATATCCAAATGGCCCTTGGCAGAAAAATGATTCCCCACTTTTGAATGAATTATCTATTATTCATAATGGGAAAATGTTTCCAACATTGTAACAAGGTAAAACTATCTTGTTAAAATATCTAGCTTGTTACTTATAATACTGTAACTGAAATCTAAAATCAGGGTCCAGTTCATTTTCCTTCTACTTCTATTTGAAGTTTGCCTTCTTCGTGTTGACAATTTGACCCTTTTGTAGGTGGTGCCACAGTAACTGCTTAATGAGCCCCCCCCAATCCACCTCACATGTCTTTGTTTCAAAGCTCCGACCAGAAGACAGATAATCTTGGAAGAAGTATTTTTTAAATTCTCATATCACTCAACTATGCCTGACAGTCTATGTCTTTAAAGGTGTATGTATGTATGGTATAGAAAGAAGTGATTGGAAAACAATTTTAGTGAATTTCAATTTTAAGGATTTGGGGGGAAATGACCAAAATGCTGGAAGTGAGATGATAGTCTTATTTTCTGTTTCAGATATTAAGCATCGCCGAATACCAATCTTATTCTTTGCAAACAAAATGGATCTTAGAGATGCAGTGACATCTGTGAAAGTGTCTCAGTTGCTGTGTTTGGAGAATATCAAAGATAAGCCATGGCATATTTGGTAAAGTTTTAGATTTATTTTTCATTTTATCATTTTGAAAAAATGTCCAAGCTTCAGTGCTTCTTTTCCAAGCTTATTTTGTAAGTGACCTAACATGGTGGATGTAAGCTAAGGATTTTGTTTTATAGAATGTGACATTGTAGGTGTTCATGAATTTATTGCTATTAAAACCTTTCAAATTTTTGGGGGGATAGAAAAACATAAACAACTCTTTAAAAGAATAAATTAAACAGACTATTCACTCACCCAGCTTCAGCCATGCTGATTTCCTTCTACACATTGAATCAGCCAACCGCAATCCCATCTCAGGGCATCTTCACCTGTCAATCCCTTTGTCTAAATCATTTTCCAAAATAAATTTCCTGGTGTGCTATTACACTTCCTTCAGGAGAGGGAACTCTCCTGATAATTCTCTAAAATATCGCTCTGCCTCACCCTGCCTTGTTTTTTCCTTATTTTGCTTTTTTTGTTGCCATGTGACCTTTTCTTTTTTTTTCTCTTTGTTTTATAGTCTGTCTTCTTACACTAGTACATTAGCACCATGAGAACTGAAGTTTTATCAGCTTTCTTCACTCTATAACCCCTGGAATAATAGTGCATGGTGCTTAGTAGGTTCACAATAAATATTTGTTTATATGAATAAATATAAATGGAAATACTAATCTTTCTTGGACATACTAATAAGGTTGAATTCATAAATAGTGTCTGAAATTATTTAACATTACTTATTAGATAGCATTTTAGTGCCTGCCACTACCTGTTATTAAGCTCCCTCTATCTACCACCTACCTCCCCACCATTGCAAGATACCCTTCTCTCTCCTTGTTTCCCCTTTTTATGTTTGTTTGTTTTGTTTTGTTTATATGTTTTTTAAATTGATTTAGAGAGAGAAGGGAGAGAGAAATAGAAACATCAATGTGAGAGAGAAACATAGGCTGCCTCCTGCACTGTCCCCACTGGGAATCGAGCCTGCAACCTGGGCATGTGTCCTGACTGGGAATGGGACTGGGACCTCTCAGTCCATGGGATGATGCTCAATCCACTGAGCCACACTGGCCTGGCCAGGTTTCCCCTTTTTATAAGATGTTATATATGGAAAAAGGCTGAACACAAAGGCAGAGAATTCTACTGCCTCTAGAAGAAACAATATGAAGCAAGGAGTTAGTAGAGCTCAGAGAACTTTCAGTGCTAACCCTCATGCTGAAAGAGTAATAATAGAGAGGAGAGCTGAGAAAGCCCTTGCAGCTCCTCCCAAGGCAACTTATTCCCAAGGCCTCCAGCACCTTTGCCCAGGAGGGAAACACTGCATATCTCAGGTCAAACCTACCTTACTTTGGAATCAGAATAAAAGTCAGTGTTTACTGAATGATTCTTGACTTGGAATTTGCACTTATGTGGTATTTTGTTGGTAAAGAGAGGAGGGATTTGAGGTAGAGAAGTATCTTAAGATGGAACCTTTGCATTTCTGTACATTATTTAGGTAAATATATCTAAATTGATAATGTCTAAAGTAGAATAATTTTTAATTATTCCATTATATTAAGTATTGCCAGTGCTTTGATAGAAAGTACAACATTCAGAAACATGGATCTAATTAGTAAAATATGCAGTCCTACTTTTAATTTTGAAGTAAAAGTTAATTTTGCAAGTAGAAAAATCTGCACTTCTGTCACTGGGTTTGCTCAGCAGTTAGAGCACTGCGTGTGGTCTGAAGGGTCAAGGGTTCAATTCCCAGTCAAGGGCACATACCTGGGTTTCAGGGTCGATCCCCAGCCCTGCAACCAACTGATATCTCTTTCATATCAATGTTTCTCTTCTCTCCTCCTCCCCTCCCTCCTTTCCGCGCTATCTAAAAGTCAATGGAAAAATACCCACTGGTGAGGATTAACAAAAAAAAGAAAAAAATTTTTAATAATTAGCACTTTAAATTTAAAAATTTTATTCAGTTGTGACATCTAAATATTTTGCGGTGAGAGAAAAACTAATATCCTGATGCTATAAAGATGTGGAATATTGTATTTCCAGTTTCGTATTTTCTGTATAACTTAGAGAAGTATGCCAAGCATTTCTTTAAATTTGTCTATAATTTTGACTTCTTAATTCAAACTGAACATTCCACTGTTTTAATTACTGCTTCATTTTTAAAGTTTTTTTAAATTTTTTGCAATATTTTTAAAATCATGTATAAAATTTTATTTTATTTTATTTTTTTATCCTCACCCGAGGACATTTTTCCATTTTTTGTACAGACAGAGTGGGAGGGAGAGAGAGGAAGAGAGAGAGAGAGAAACATCGATGTGAAAGGGACACATCGAGTGGCTGCCACCCACACGACCAACCAGGGCCGGGGACAAACTGCAACCAAGGTACATGCCCTTAGCGGGAACCGAACCCGGGTCTCTCCGGACTGCAGGCGGGCGCTCTAACCACTGAGCCAAACCGGCCAGGGCTCATGTATAAAATTTTAAACACATTTGTACCTCCTTTCCAGTTTTAGAGATAAAAGTAATGTACAGTGATGTAGAGATAAAAATACTCCATCTCTCTTGCCTTCGGTACAAGTAAATTTACTGAGCAATAAGAGATTATAGAGCTATATAGTCTGAAAAATTAAAGGAAAAATTTTATAGTTTATTTTTTACTAGTGTACTAAACATATAATCAACTCTGATTTTCAGGATCTGATTGCAGTATTGTTCTTCCTGTGTGTTCTTTGGCTCAGTCCCTGGCATGATATGTATATGTTTTTGCTTATTTACTATGTTGAGAGGGAGATAGATAATAAATGTGGTAAATATATGTATAAAATGTTAGCTGGGAAGGCGAAGAAAAAAAAGTAAGACAGTAGGAAAAAATGATGACAGACGCTCCCTCTCTGAGATCTAATTGAAGTCAGAGAGCAGTTCACAAAAAGGTGTAGAGGACCAGCTTTCCAAATAGAGAGGCTAGCAAGTGAGAAGGCTCTTGGATGAGAATGTACCTGGTGTTTTTCAGGAATAGCAAGAATCCAAGCTGACTCTGGAGCAGAGAGATCTAGAGGGGATTTGTAGATAAAACCACTGAAATAATCTGGGGCCATATCACATAAGGCCTTGTAGGACATGGTGAGGACTTTGGCTTTTATTTACTTACAAGTCTTACGATTTATTTGAAAGGAAAGTAGAATTCAAACAGTTGGAAATTAGTAGGAAAAGATGCAGGGTTTTTAGTAGGGTAATGACTCCTTTAATAAAGGGGAAGGATTTTCTCATTATATTACTTGATACTGTAGTCTTATTTCGGATTATAGGTGTGTGGTAAAAGCAATGCATTGATCTATTTTGATATAAATATTTTAGTTACTAATGTTTTGCTGTTGATAGGATGATCCATAGTTTGCTTTGAATAATTGTGTATCTCATGCTCTTTGTTTCTGTCTTCCTATTTTTAAAATAAAAGTTATATTCTTAATCTAATAAGTAATTCCTTGGAAGTAATTTCTGGTTTGATTAGAATCAAATTAGCTCTTTTAGGTAATTTAGTACATTTTAAAATTATGCTTCAGCACACTAAAAGGCACCCTAACTCAGAAAATATAATGATGTATACTAGTTGCTATTATACAATTATATTTTGAAAGGAAATAACTACTAGATCAGTAAAATGTAATGAGAAACTATCAATCTGTGTCTTGGAAAAGATTGATACTCAAAAAATTCTTTGCATTTTATTATTTTAGTTTATGACTTAATTATAATTATTTATAAAATACCAGGATAAAGATTTAAGTTTACTCTCTTAAGAATGGAAAGACCAAAAAAAGACCCTATTGTATATACATATCTCAAATATTTAATTCCTATAATAACTATATGAAATCATTGATAATATTCCATTTTACAGATGCTAAAACTGAAGACAGGAGAGTTAAATAACCTATCCAGATTCCTAAAGCCAATAAGTACAAACCTATTATTGAAATCTACTGGGATTTTTTTTATTCTACCAATTTACCAAAGTTATAATTACAGGTTTCTACCCTATAGATATCAAATTCCATTTCAAAAAAAGTCACTGCATCCTATGGCTAAATGACAACCTAAGTCAAGCATTTCTAATAAATAAATGCTGTAGTCACTGGGCTGGGCAAAGTAGGAAGAGGGACTCTGTAAACTTTTTCACCACTGGAAAAATAGCTCAATGTCAGTCTGAGTACTGTTCCTCAAATAATAACTTTTTATTGATACCTTTTTTTCAAATGTCTTACAAATTATGTCAATGCAAGTTATGGATTATTTTCTTCTGTCTTGCTCCAGTACACTCAGACTTTTATTTTTTATGTACATTCTGTTTCAATGTTTAACTAGTTTTGCTCAGATAATGTGTTACTAAAATATATTAATTTGCTATATGGCAAAATTACAGTAATTTATTCTTATAGTTCTATGATGTAATGAAATGGATATGTCTTTTGTGGATTTTATTACAGTGCTAGTGATGCCATAAAAGGAGAAGGATTGCAAGAAGGTGTAGACTGGCTTCAAGGTACATCACGAAGTACTTTCTGTCTTCAGCCTGTATTTCCTTTTCATTCACATTCTTCTTTCTTTTTTTAACATTTTATTTTTATTATATCACTACCTTTTCCCCCTCTTGTTTCCATTTATATCTGCTTTCAGAAAATACACTACAGTAAGTATCCAGTACCTTGCTCCATTAACTTTTATTACATTTTTCTAAAGGATTTATTTAAATAAAGTGTTTGCATTTTAAAGGTCAATATACGTGACAACATGAAATATTTTAAATCTATAGCACTATACATGACAACCAAGAAATAATTTTAATTTCTATGAGATCTAGTAATAGAAGCACATTTGAAGTTTGGAACAAATTGTAGGCCTGTCAATAACTGATGTCTGCATGGCATGTATTTTAAAAATTATTTACTTCGTATGTCTTCATTTATACATAACAGGTTTACACAACCTATAACACTCATATTTAGAATTGTAAATACTGATATTCTGTTGATGTTTTGTATATTGCAGTTCTATTTGTTATTCATCAAAATAGCTATAATAGGTTGGTACAGGCTTATTGTTATCAGGAATAAATTAAGATATATCATTTTTTCTAAGTTTAGTTGTTTACTAGTCACAGGAATGGCTTAAAGCACAGTGGCCCACACAGAGCATAAGTGAATGAAACCAAGTTCTTTAGATTCTTATTACAGGACCCTGAGGGTCAGGCCAAGAAATTTTTATTTGTGAGCAGAACTAAGGATCATTCCTGTTAGGTAGGCATCTCCCTGCTCTGAATAGGGGTGAATAACAAGATATTAGAAATTCAAATTTTAGTCTTGTAGCCATCAACTTAATTTCTTCTACAGTAACATTTTTTATTTTAATCCTCACCTGAGGATATGTTGTTGTTGTTTTTTTACATGTATCTTATTTTATTTTTTTATTTTATTTATTAATTTGTTTTTGTTACAAATGTTTCTTCTTTTTCCCCCATTGACACACTCCTCCTCTTCCCTCCCCACCCTGTCCCTAGCTTTGTTATCCATGTCCATTGGTCATGCATACATGCATATAAGTTCTGTGGTTTATCTCTCCACCCCTCCACCCCTCTTCTGGGGATTGTCAGTCTGTACCCCACTTCCACATCTCTGGGACTACCCCATTCCTCAGACTGTTATGTTCATTATATTCCACAAATAAGTGAGATCATATGATACCTGTCTCTCTGTTTGGCTTGTTTTGCTTAGGATAATACTTTCCAGGTGCCTCCATGTTGTCTCAAAGGATAAGAGCTCTTTCTTTCTTAACAGCTGCATAGTACTCCATTGTGTATATGTACCACTGCTTTTTTATCCATTTGTCTACTGATGGGACATTTGGGCTGTTTCCAGATCTTAACTATTGTAAATAGTGCTGCTATGAACATGGGGTATATATAGTCTTTCTGATTGGTGTTTCAGGCTTCTTAGGGTATATTCCTAGAAGTAGGATCACTGGGTCAAATGGAAGTTCAATTTTTAATTTTTTGAGATAACACCATACTGTTTTCCATAGTGGATGCACCAGTCTGCATTCCCACCAGCAGTGCACTAGAGTCCCCTTTTCTCTACACCCTCGCCAACACTTGTTGTTTGATGATTTGATGATGGTGGCCATTGTGACAGGTGTGAGGTGATACCTCATTGTTGTTTTAATTTGCATCTCTCTAATGATTAGTGATGTTGAGCATTTCTTCATCTGTCTCTTAGCCATTTGTATGTCCTGTTTGGAGAGGTGTCTATTTCATTCTTCTGCTCATTTTTAATTGGGTTCTTTGTCTTCCTTTTGTTGAGCTGTATGAGCACTCTATATATTTTGGAAATTAACCTCATATCTGATATATCATTGGCAATTATGCTCTCCCATAGATTGGGTTGCTTTTCCATTTTGGTGGTGTTTCTTTTGCTGTGCAGAAGCTTTTGAGTTTGATGTAGTCCCATGTGTTCATTTTCTCCTTTGTTTCTGTTGCCTTACTTGATGTATCAGTGAAAATTCTGCTGCATTTGATGTCTGAAATTTTGTGCCTACATTTTTGTCTAGGATTTTTATGGATTCATGAGTCACATTTAAGTCTTTTATCCATTTTGAGTTTATTCTTGTGTATCGTGTAAGTTGATAGTCTAGTTTCATTTTTTGTGCATGTAGCTGTTCAATTTTTCCAACACCATTTATTAAAGAGGCTATCTTTACTCTATTGTGTGCTCTTGCCACCTTTGTCAAATATTAATTGAGCATAATATTTTGGGTCCATTTCTGGGTTCTCTGTTCCATTCCATTGATCTATGTGCCTGTTCTTTTGCCAGTACCAGGTTGTTTTGATTACAGTAGTATCTTCTTCTTGTAGTATAACCTGATATCTGGTATTGTGATCCCTCCTACTTTGTCCTTTTTCAAGATTGATGTGGCTATTCGGGATCTTTTTTGGTTCCATATGAACTTTTGAAGTACTTGTTCTAGTTTTGTGAAGTATGTCATTGGTATTTTGATGGAGATTGCATTGAATCTATAGATTGCTTTGGGTAATTTTAATGATGTTAATTCTTCCAATCCATGAACAAGGTATGTGCTTCCTCTTTTTAATATCTTCCTCTATTTCTTTTTTCAATGACCTATAGTTTTCTGCGAATAGGTCCTTTATTTCTTTGGTTAAGTTTATTCCTAGGCATCTTAATTTTTTTGCTGCAATGGTAAATGGGATTGTTTTCTCAGTTTCTCTTTCTGTGAGTCCATCATTGGTGTATAAGAATGCCATCGATTTCTTGACATTAATTTTGTATCCTGCTACTTTGCCAAATTCATTTATTAAGTCTAGTAAATTTTTGGTGGAATCTTTGGGGTTTTCTATGTATAATATCATGTCATCTGCGAATAATGACAGTTTCACTTCCTCCTTTCCAATTTGGATCCCTTTTATTTTTTCTTCCTGTCTGATTGCTGTGGCTAAGACTTCCAGTACTATGTTAAATAAGAGTGGCGAAAGTGGTCATCCTTGTCTTGTTCCTGTTCTTAAGGGAAATGCTTTTAGTTTTTGTCCATTGAGTATGATGTTGGCTGTAGGTCTTTCGTATATGGCCTTTATTATGTCGAGATATGATCCCTCTATTCCCACATTGCTGAGCGTTTTTATCAGAAATGGGTGTTGGATTTTTTCGATTGCTTTTTCAGCGTCTATTGATACGATCATATGATTTTTATTTTTCATTTTGTTTATGTGATGTATCACATTTATTGATTTGCAGATATGGTACCAGCCTTGCACCCCTGAGATGAATTACACTTGGTCATGGTGAATAATTTTTTTGATGTGTTGCTGGATCTGATTTGCTAGTATTTTGTTCAGCATTTTGGCATCTATGTTCATCAGGGATATAGGCCTGTAGTTTTCTTTCTTTGTAGTGTATTTTTCTGGTTTTGGAATTAGAATTATGCTGGCCTCATAAAACAAGTTTGGAAGGCTTCCGTCTTCTTAAATTTTTTTAAATAGTTTGAGGAGAATGGGTAATAGTTCTTTGAATGTTCGGTAAAACTCCTCCGTGAAGCCTTCCGGGCCTGGGCTTTTGTTTGCTGGGAGAGTCTTGATTATATCTTCAATTTCCTTTGTTGTTATTGGTCTTTTCAAGTTTTCTGTCTCTTCCCGGTTCAGTTGTGGGAGACTATATGTTTCTAGAAATGTGTCCATTTCCCTTAGATTGTCAAATTTGTTGCCGTATAATCATTCATAATATTTGTTAACAATCCTTTGTATTTCTGTGGTGTCAGTTATTTCTCTTTCATTTCTGATTTTGTGTATTTGGGTTCTCTCTCTTTGTTTCTTGGTAAGTCTAGCTAAGGGTCCATCAATCTTGTTTATCTTTTCAAAAAACCAGCTCTTTATTTCATTGATCCTTTGAATTGATTTTTGGTCTCCATTTCATTTATTTCGGCTCTGATCTTTACTATTTCCTTCCTTCTACTTGCTCTGGGGTTTTCTTTTTGTTTGCTTTCTAGTTCTGTAAGTTGTGAAGTTAAATAGTCTATTAGAGCCCTGGCCAGTTTGGCTCAGCGGTTAGAGCGTCGGCCTGCGGTCCTGAGAGACCCGGGTTCGGTTCCCGCTAAGGGCGCGTACCTCGGTTGCAGTTTGTCCCCGGCCCTGGTCGGTTGTGCGGGTGGCAGCCACTCGATGTGTCCCTTTTACATCGATGTTTCTCTCTCTTTCTCCCTCCCACTCTATCTGAACAAAAAATGGAAAAATGTCCTCAGGTGAGGAAAAAAAAAACAGAATAAAATAGTCTATTAGAAATTGTTCTTGTTTCTTGAGGTATCTCTGTAGTGCTGCTTTTACTGCATCCCATAGATTTTGTGTTGTTGTGTGTTCATTTTCATTGGTTTCCAGGAATTTTTAAATTTCTTTCTTGATCTCCATGGTAATGCCTTCATTGTTCAATAACATGCCATTTAGCCTCCATGTTTTCCAATATCTTTTCATGTTCTTATTGCAGTTGATTTCGAGTTTCATGCCATTGTGATCTGAGAAGATGCTTGGTGTGATTTCAGTCTTCTTGAACTTGTAGAGACTTAGTTTGTGCCCTAACATGTGGCTATCTTTGAGAATATCCTATGTGCACTTGAGAAAAATGTGAATTCTGTAGTTTTAATGTGTAATTCTCTGTAGATATGTGTTAAATCCATTTGCTCTAGCGCTTCATTTAGATTCTGTGTTTCTGAGGCTATGTTTTTATTGATTTTTAGAGGGAGAGAAGAGGAAAGAGAAAGAAAGAAACATCAATCATTTGCCTCTGTACACTCCCCAACTTGGGATTGAACCTGCAACCTTTTGTTGTATAGAACAACACTCCAATCAACTGAGCAACGCGGCCAAGGCTACACTGACATTTTAGTTCCAGTTTTGTGTGATTCTTTTTCCTTCTTTGCTGTCATGGTAGATCTTTGAACAAAAGAAATACTAATTTTTTGTATAGGGAAGAGTAGCCTGTTTATCCATACAATAACATAATATTTCTTTGATTCAAAGTATCAACTGTATATCTGATAAATATTTTTAATGTGTTATCAGTAAAATATAGTATTTTAGTTAACTGCACAGACTAGTATCAGTTTTTCTGTTTTGTAGCCATCATGACATTTACCATTAAACTGCAAAGAACACCCTGGCAAGTGTGGCTCAGTTGGTTGGAACATCATCCAGTACACCAAAATGTGGCAGGTTTCATTCCCAGTCAGTGCACATGCAAGAGGCAACGGATTGATGTTTCTATCTCATATCAGTGTTTCTCCCAATCTCTGTCTCTCCCCCCCCCCATTCCCTTCCTTCCTCTGTCTACAAAAACAATGAAAGAAATAAACTAAAAAAATAACATTAAAAAACACTACAAGAAACATTCTAATCATATTTTTATAATTAAGTGAAACTTAATTGAGAACCTCTAGTAATTCTCAGAATAACTACTGGAATTTTTCTATGAACATACTAACTTAGTTCCTTAGATTGTGGTCAAAGTTAAGGAACTGATTCCCACATGAAACATAGGCTGCAGAAGAACATTTCAGAGAAGAAACCAAAAGCACATTTTCAGCCTTGATTAGTATTTACAAGTGCTTATTATTGCTCACGGTGACGATATAGCATGGATTAAACCCCACTATTGTTTACAAAGTAATTCAAAGCACAGTAACCACTAAAAATAGGTTGATATAGCCATCTGAATTTTATATCATAGCTCTATTCTAGCTCTCTCTTCCCTTTGTTTTTGTTTTACTTTTAATAGTGAGGCCACTAGGTGTCAGTAACAATACAACATCACTGTGTCACTTGTCAACTCAGGTCTTGTCACTTAGTTTTGTGTCTCTGACTATTCTAATTTGTTATCTTTGCATCTTACCTCCCAAGTTTTTGTAAGGAGTGTACATTATTGGAAGTATTTTTGTGCCCTAGTGTTGCCATATTTCTGTACACAATTGTTATAATAGTTCTCTGCAAGGTAAGTTGGTCGTATCCCAAATTTATGTAGGCATCATGGGATATAGTTAAAAAGCACGTGGGCTTTTGAGTCTAGCAGATTCATTCCACTACTTATTATTAATTAACATTTCTTGTAAAGATAATTGTCTTCATCTATAAAATAAAATTAAAATGTCAAAATGGTACAGATTAAATGAAACACTGTATGTGTTAAAATCCCTAGCACAAGAAAACATTCAATAAATGTTAAATGTACCCTTTTACCTAAATGCTCTATTTAATAATGAAGGAAACTTTGTATGTAGATTAGAAAGTATTTTGGTTTAGTTTTAAATAGGAGATCCTGTTCATATTTCTTATGTAGTGGCGAATAGTTTGCGATTTGATGCTCCTGCCTCTCTGGATTTGAAAAGAGGCGAGAAAACCTATTTTACAAAATAGTAACAGTATATAGGAGACTTGTCTGTGCCTTTAACTAATTTATTAGCTAAAAGTTTTTTTATAAATCTAACTATGGAAGATGTTCTGAATTTCTCTCTTGATTTTGCTTCCAAAATTCTGAAATTTCTTACTATGATAAATAAGAAGGCCCTTGGACCTATTTAATTTTATTATTTAGAGTTTAAGGCTGAAATATCAGGGATAAAATATTAAATGACACATTTTGTGCCATGATTCCATTCTTTTTTGAAAGAATGCCCAATGATTACCTATATATTGCTGCCCAAAGACAAGAATTCATAAGTAGACTAAAAAGTATTTTTAAAAACCAACAGAGAGTATACAGAAACCTATGCAGAAGTAGAAGTTTTCTAGCTCTGAAACTATGAAGTGAGATATTTATAAAAAGACCATTCTCCCATGTGACTAAGGAAACTTACTTATTTTATCATATTATCTGTGTGGGAAATGTTCATGCTTTCAGGTTTTAATATAAGACTTATAAACTATATGGGTGTTCCAATGAAAGAGAACTAAACACACACTTACTTTCATCCCCTCCTCAAATCTCACTATAGTTAAGGGACTTTTGTTTAAAGATATTAACCCACAAGGGCAAAAAGAACGGGAGTGACAAAAATGGCAACCAAAAAATAATAATAACCAGATTTTGGAAGCTGGATATCTGATGAATGCTGAATGACTTAACAGATTTCAAGACCCTTTCTCTTAACAGAGAAAGCTGAATTCTAAGCTAGCACCAGGGAAAGCTGGAAGGCTAATTTATATTGTAGATCCCCTCAAAGGCTCAATATTGGTGGAAATTGGAACTAAGAAAGATAGGGCTGCAAAGAGAAGCCACAGTCATACATCCTTACCCCAAAAGAAGATTGAAGGCACATTCTGTGCAGAGAGTCAGAGTATCTCTGAACTGGAGAACACCAAGCACAACTGTGTGTGGTAGTACTGAACTGAAAATGAGTAATTGGAAGTTTTCATACCAAATATTATAACCCTCTTCTGCTTTCTCCTGCTTCTCCCAGAAGACACTGACAGTAGGCAGAAGATAGAAAGTCATATTTGAGGAATCAGACCAGCCTAAGGAAAAGAGCTAGCGGTATTAATACCAGAGAGTCCCAAGGAAATGGCTTAGCTAGATACACTAGAATGAAGACCACATTGAACAGTCCTAACACACAATCAAAATTCCAGTCAGCTTTACAGTGTTCACTTATATGTTTGAAAAGATAGCAGAGGAACACCAGGCTTTTGAGGACCAAAACATTATGAATTATAGAACATAAACAGGAAAGGTAGGTTAAAGGAAGTAGAATTTATTTAGGAAAAACATTTTTAAAAAACTAGTAGAGTATCAAGAACAAAGAACCAAGATATGAGTTCTTGGAAGATAATCATAGAATAGTAGAAATCGAAAACCCAATTAAAAGAAGATAAAATAGAGGCAATCTCTCAGAAAGTAGAATAAAGAGACAAAGAATAGAAAATTGGAAAGAAAAGGTAAGAAAGTAAGTCATATTTAGGAGGCTCAATATCTAAATAGTAGGAATTTCAGAAAGAGAATAGAAAATAGAGGGGAGAAAAATCATCAAATAAATTATCAAACAGTATTTTCAACAACTGAATGATTTTGTAGTTGAAAGCTGTCTTGAGAGCTCAGTGCAGTGGATGAAAATACTCACACCATGGTACATCATTATTAACAGTCAACACTGAAGACAATGGAAGAGTCTACAAACTTCATGAGAAGAAAATAAGAGGTTTCATGTAAAGAATAAGGATATAGAATACCATCAGACTTTTCAACAGCAACACTTGGAAGCTGAAACATATTTGGGTAGTGCCTTGAACAGTCCAAGGAGAAAATAATGGAATTATGTTCTCAGGCAGTATCAATGTATTGTGATGTAGAATTAAGACATCTTCAGCCATGTAAAGTCTCAAGGATTTACTTTCCATACCTTTTACTAAGGTAACCACGGAGACAAGTACTCCTCAAAAACAAGGGAATAAACCAAGAAGAAAAAATAAGGGGTCATGAAACAAGAAAACTAGCACAAGAGAGTGGGGGAAGGAATCCCCTGGATGATAGTAGAGATCCTAGAATGACAGCGAAAGGTCTCGTGTGAAAATGGCAAGTGCAGAAAGCAACTGGTCCAGATTACAGTTTTGGAAGGCTCAGAGAAATTGTAATGTGCTTCATAATAAAGGTTTAAACAGTGTAGAGTAGTGAGATTGAAGTAAGGCATAGAAAGCAGAGAGGCAGGGTTGGGGAAAAGGAACAGTTATTAACTCAAGGGAAAACAAAATGTAGTTGAAGACAGGAAAAGTTACAGGTAGCTACCACCTGTCTCTACTGTGAAAAGCACTTACAGAGGCATTATGTTGATATTGACTGCATTACTATGTTAGGAGAATGGGAGTATTGAAAGCATTATGAGCATTGTAGAGAGAAGCATAGGGGTACATAAATGCTGAAGCCTCCTACTAAATGGAAGGAACTGATATTTAAACAGTAATAAAAGTGTATTATTTGGAGACAAAGAGGTAACCACCTAAAAGGGAGTTAAAAGTAGTTGCCTATGAAAGGAAGGAGATGAGGCAAGGGACTGCTAATTTTTATACAGTTATATAGAACTAGTTGACTATATACAATTCTGTTGAAAAATAAAAACTATAGTATGAATTGTGCTTTTTTAAAACTATGTGCATAGGTTTTTATTGTATTCTTATAGATTTGTTTCAGATTACATTAAAAAATAGATTTTGCACTATAGAGACCCCTAATTTCTTGTCTGTTTTTGTTACCAGATCAGATCCAGGCTGTGAAGACATGAAAAGATAGTATTTGGAAATCTCGACAATTGTCAATTCAAGGAACATATCTTAAGGCAAACTGACTACGTTAAACTTTTTAAAAAAATTTTGGTGCATCTAAGAGTACTTTATAATCTACTTGCATTTATGGACTCTGAATGAGCTTTATAAGAATATAGGCCTTTCACATATGCTAATCTGGCCATTAATTATATGAAAATAAATCCTCAGAAGGGCTCCCGAGAATTATCAACTTCTTAGTAAAAGTCTACACTTGATTGTGATGAGAATGTTTAAAGTCAGAGTTAAACTCCGTATCAATATCTCATCATGAATCATGGTATCTTTAATGTATTTTATTTTTTAAATTGTCTTCTAAAAAGTTAGTTCATAGTATGACTGCAGTGTGGTTGTGCTTGTGAAAAAGAACTTTAAATGTTTATAAGGGACCATGGGTAATTAATGTATATTAGATTTTTACTATATGTCACCATCAATAAAACATAAAATGTAATGTACCAGCTAGTGTGCTTTGTTTATGCTGTGTTAATACAGTACTTGGTGCTTTAATGTCAAACATCTGTAAATCTAAGACCAAGTCACGCTGAAGTTATTTATCCAGTGACTATGTTTTGAACATCTCTATACCTGTGCTAGTCTGGCATCATCCTGCACAGTGGTGATACAAGGTAAGTAAGACATGGTCCTTATCCTCAGAGAACTTAAAATTTAATGAGGAAGAATTTGAGAATCTTTTAATATATCATATTTAATTTTATTTCATTGGCTGAATGAAAATATTTTAAGTTTAACAGTTATAAAAATGAATTCATATATGATTCTTCAATAATTATTATAACTGACTTCTTGTTTCTTCCTTTAAAATTCCTCCAGTTTACTATAATACTTTGTTAAAATAGATTGTGACTCACCAAACTGTTTTTTTTCTGAGCATAAACCACTACATAAATGTTCTTTAGTATTTTAGACGTATCTCAGGTATTCACTGTATGCAAATTGTGCTATTCTCACAACTTAGACATCACTAAGAATTATGAACTCTAGATAGAAGCTTTTAAATTAATCTCTGGGAAATAGTGTATAAAACAGTGATGTCATCTGAAAAATATTACATATAAAGAAAAACTGGAATATTCAATGTGTAGCAACATTTTAAACATTTTTAACTGTAAAAATGATTAAAAATTGGCAAAAGGTGAGTAATAAAGATGTGTTATAGTAACTGGTAGTGGTATGTTTCAGAGATTTGAATAACAATTTTAAAACTACAGTAAAAGTTCTTTAATCCACTTTCTCATAGTCCTGAAATCCCAGTGACTTGGAATTTGGCAAGCTGAAAGTTATGCAGGATATTTCAGTGTTCCAGCATTTTAAGCCAGTTTGTCAGCCTTTCATAAATTGTTTTGATAAGGATGAAAAGTGAGATACATTGAGTTGACTCACATATAAAAAGGACTTATGAAAACACTGAATGTGATATAACAACAACAAAAAACTGGTGTTCTGGAACTATTTTAGGAGAATGCAGAAAGAGGTATTTAAGTCCTCATCTCTCATACAGTAATGATAACCATAATAGTTATTACTGTAAGATCACTGTATTTTGAGTAATATATCACACATGTGATTTTATATCATTTAATCCTCACAATAGATTTTTGTGGTAAGTTCTAGTATTTATTTTATAGATAAGAAAACTAAAGCCTAAAAGCATTGTCATTTTCTGAAGGTCACAGAGCTAATAAATGGTGGTACTGGGATTCAGAACCAGTCTGTTTAAAATGGATAATTCAAGAGACAAGAGTGTTACAGATATTAGAAATTTAGAGGTGTTGGCCATAAAAATAGCTAAAAGGATTTGAAAGGTTCTCACTTTGTAAGGAGACTGGGATGTGGGTGGGAGGTGGTCAGAGATAAGGAACTTTTTTTTTTTTAATTGTTTTAAGACTATTAGCACTTCAGATTTTAAATTCTGGGCATAAGTGACTAATCAAAATAATTCTTATACCCTGGCCAGTTTGGCTCAGCAGTTAGAGCATCAGCCTGCAGACCAAAGGGTTGGGGGATTTCATTCCCAGTCAAGGGCACAGGTTAGATCCCTGGGTCTTGTCAGGGTTGTGCAGGAGGCAACCAATCAATGTGTCTCTTTCACATCTATGCTTCTCTCTTCCCCTCCCTCCCTTCCACTTTATCTAAAAATCAATTGGAAAATATCCTCTGGTCAGGATTAACAAATAAATAATAATTCTTAGGTTGGTAGTCAATTGATGTTTCACAAACTACAGTAACTCATACTTATGCAAATATTTAGGCAAAAGAGAAGTACTTTTTCCTTTGTTTTTGTGATTTTCAACTATAGATTTTGTAAACATCCATTCTTACTCTACTCTTTCAAGACAAGATTATGTAGAAGCAAGTTGGGCAACAATAGCCACAGGTTGCCCTATAAGTGTTTATAAACTGAGGTTGTTGTGTTTGTATTTAACACTATGCAATTAAAATTTATTGCATTATAAAGCTCAAGCAGGTGTTATATTATGTTTAGGCATCAGTGTGTAACAAAGTTTAATTTATAAGCTTTACATCTCAATACAATACCTCAAAGTGTTCAAAACTTTTCCTATTGTATATTTTGCTTTTAAATATTTATTTATGGCCCTATTTAACTTGTGCTTTGTAAATCATGAAAGGGTAAGTTTTATATATTTGCTTTTCATCGATAGGTTGCCTGCTAAAAATTATGAATTGTCTCCTGATTGCTCAAGTTATTTTTTTCCTTTGGAATTGTTGGCACACCACACTGTTAATTAGTCTTGCAAGTAGCTAAGACATATACATCCTTTAGTACATTTAAAATACTATAGCATTTTAGCCCTGGCCGGTTTGGCTCAGTGGTTAGAGCGTCAGCCTGCAGTCTGGAGAGACCTGGGTTCAGTTCCCGCTAAGGGCACATACCTTGGTTGCAGTTTGTCCCCGGCCCTGGTTGGGTCGTGTGGGTGGCAACCACTCGATGTGTCTCTTTCACATCGATGTTTCCCTCTCTCTCTCCCTCTCACTCTATCTGAACAAAATATCGAAAAATGTCCTTGGGTGAGGATAATAAATAATAAAATATTATAGCATTTTAACTGACTTTGTGCATATTTTCTGATTATTCCTTATTCTTAGTTTTTTTAAAAAATAAAACTGGTATGAAAATGTCATTTAAATGGATGTTAAAATAGGTTGTTTATTTCTGTGCCTGAAGAGAAATACTACAATGGTTAAGAAATGGATATTGTATTTAATTGACTGCTTCAGGCAACTTATTTTATTTTCATAGTGAATCTTCCTTGATAAGGATGCTTCTGCTGGGGTTAGCAAGGGACTGCCTTAGGACTATTGCTTTTCCTTCTGATCACTCCATTTCAGTGCCACACTTGGAAGCTTCATCCAGTACAGTGTGAAACTGTTTTCTGGTGATGTAGAATAAATCAAGAAAGACAATATAAATCCTTCATATTTCAAGCCACTGAGTAACGCTAGAAGTCATACAGGAATGATAGGTACTTTGGTTAGAAATGTAGTAACAAACATTTTTATAACTTTTACTACGTGTCATGCACTTTATAAGCACTTTACATGGGTGGGGAAAAGGTTTGTAGTTGTGAGTACATGAAACAGTTTATTTTTGTATTATTTTTTATGTATTGTATTATTTTTCATATCAACAACTGTAAACCTACTTTTGCCCCAGGGACCCTTATATAGGCACACCTTATTTTATTGCGCTTCACTATTGCCCTTCAAGGGTGTGGCATGTTTTACAAATTGAAGGCAAGATCCTCCACCAGCAAAAGGATTATGTGTGACTTTATTGCAGTGGTCTGGATTCAAATCTGCAATATCTCCAAGGTATGCCTGTATTAATTTAATCGTCATAACAACCTTACAAGGTAAATGCTGTTATTATCTCTATTACACCAGTCTGGGGTCAGCAAGATTTCCAAGACCTTATATCAACACATACCTCTTTTTGTGTACCCCTTAAGCTAAAAATGCTTTTACATTTTAAAAGGCTTCTTTATTTGCTTTTGTTTGTTTTCTTTCTTTAAATCATTTTTTATTGTTCAATTACAGTTGACATGCTATTGTATTAGTTTCAGGTGTACACCCCAGTGACTAGACTTACTAAGAGGTCATCCTGATAAACCTTGTATTCATCTAACACCATACATAGTTATTAAAATATTATTGACTATATTTACTATGCTGTACTTTACTGTATGCATGACTATTCTGTAACTACAAATTTGTACATCTTAATCCCTTCATCTTTTTCACCCAACCCTCGTCCTATCTGGCAACCATCAAAATGTTCTCTGGCCCTGGCCGGTTTGGTTCAGCAATTAGAGCATCAGCCCACGGACCAAAAAGTCACAGGTTCAGTTCTGGTCAAGGGCATGTACCTTGGCTGTGGTTTGGTCCCTGGCCCTGGTCAGGGTCCTGTGGGAGGCAACCAATCGATGTGTCTTTCTCATGTGGATGTTTCCCTCCCTCCCACTCTTATCTGAAGATAAATGGAAAAGTATCCTCAGGTGAGGATTTTTAAAAAGTTCTCTGTATCTGTGAGTCTTTCTGTTCTGCGTGTTCATTTGTTCTGTTTTTCAGATTCACTCATTGATAGGTCTGTATTTATTGCCATTTTATTGTTCTTTTTGTTGTTAATCCTCACCTGAGGATATCTTTTTTATTGATTTTATTTTGTTAGGGAGAGAGAGTGGAAGGTGGGGGAGAGAGGAGAGAAAAACATTGATGTGAGAGACACATCAATTGGTTTCTCCTGCCAGTACCCCAACTGGGGCTGAGGATCGAACCTGCCACCAAGGTACATACCCGGCCAGGAATCAAACCCATGACCCTTCAGTGGAGGGGTAGGTGGATGCTCTAACCACGGAGCCATGCCAGCCAGGACTTACTGTTCGTATTTTTCATCTTTTTTTCTTCTTGAAGAAGGCCCTTTAATATTTCATTGTAATACTGGTTTGGTGGTGGAACTCTTAGCTTTTTCTTGTCTGGGAAAGTCTTTCTCTCTCCTTTGATTATAAATGATAGCTTTGCAGGGTAGGGTAATCTTGGTTGTAGGTCCTTGCTCTTTATCACTTTGAATATTTCATGCCAATCCCTTATGGCCTGCAGTTTCTGTTGAGAAATCAGCTGACAAGGGAGCTCCCTTGTAGGTAACTAGCTGCTTTTCTCTTGCTGCTTTAAAATTCTCTCTTTGTCTTTAACCTTTTGCATTTTAATTATGATGTGTCTTGGTGTGGGCCTCTTTAGGTGCATCTTGTCTGGGACTCTCTGCACTTCCTGGACTTTTATATCTACTTTCTTCACCAGGTTAAGGAAATTTGCTGTCATTATTTTTTCAAAGGTTTTCAATTTCTTGCTCGCTTTCTCCTCCTTCTGGAACCCCCATGATGTGAATGTTGATATATGCTTGAAGTTGTTCCAGAGGCTCTTGACACTAGCTTTATTTTTTTGGATACTTTTGTTTGTTTGTTTGCTGTTCTAGTTGGGTGTTTTTTTGCTTCCTTATATTCCAAATCACTGATTTGATTATTGGCTTCATCTACTCTACTATTGATTTTCTGTACATT